ATTTAGCTACTGAATTTTAGGATATGTTTTACCTTGAGGTCAAATATAATTTTGAGGAGCAATTTTATTACCTACTAATCTTTTATCTGCTATTCCTTATTTAGGAACAATATCAGTAAATTGAGTTTGGGGGAGATTTACTGTTTATAATGCTACATGTATTATTTTAATATTTACCTACTGGGTAGGTAATTATTAAAATAATAAATATAGCGTTAGTAACCAAATAGATATTTTTTCCCAATTACAATAACTAATGAGGTATTGTGATTATTTGTGATTAGTAATACAAGGTGGGTATTAACAAATAGAACAAAATAAAATTTAAAGTCAATTTTATTATCTTGAATGTAAGAAATTGATTACAAATTTTTTAACTTTCTTAAATTATAAACAAACAGCTGCAGCTATTAAATGAACACATATGCGCATACATACGCCCATGACATAATAGAAAAAACTGAACTGGTTATTTGAATAAAATTTTAATTTGATATTCAAATTAATCACCCATACAATCGATGCATCTTTGAAAGCGCAGTGGTAGTTTATTGATGCCGTTCTTGAAGAAATCAACTGGACGGGTAAAGAACGGAAGTCTGTTGGCGCAAGGTCTAGTTTTCCAATGACGGAGAGCTTCCTACCCCAGCTCTTGTAACTTGGAGACCGTCTGTTATGTGGTATGAGGTCATACGGGGACGAGCGATTGACCGGAGCTGGTTGGAGACGTACAAGCTTCTCCATCACTGTGTACAGTTCTTCACATTTGACAGTCCAACAGTCAAAATTTTATATCTATGGAAACACTTTCCCAGTTCAATAAGTGGGTATAATATATATATATATATATATATATATATATATATATATATATGTGTGTGTATATATATATATATATATATTCTCAGATAAAGAAGGAAGATTCATTGATGATAATAGCTCGTTTAGTTGCTAATTTCCCGAGCCTATTTCAATCATACCTGCGACTGCACATACATTTAATGATAAATAATTTTCACTACAATCATCGTTTACAAATTTTTGGTTACATAATTGGAATTTAAGCGTAAATTTTGACTCTAAGCCTTTTGTGTTTCTCCGATAAGTTGTGGTTCGGTGAAGCTACAACCTAATGGACCACGATTTGAAATTGTTATGAAAAGAAGTGGCTGACGTCAATTATTATTCTTCTTATTATTTTTTCATTACTGCCTTTTTCAACCTCACAAGATATTTGTAACTGCAAAAAAAGAAAACTACGTATAAGTAAGTAAATCAGTAATATAGTGTTATGTATGATTCAGACTAAATAAAGTTTCTAAAAATAGACGTAGATAAAGAAGTTGCATAAAAAAATTACTCAAATAAAAATGCAATAAACTTGTTAATTTTATAGGTACTAACATATTAAAATAATAAGTTTTTTTAGGATATTTATGTAAAACATAAAGGTTATATTATGTTCTAACTACGTTCACGCTTGCGCATATAAAACCGCAGAATTCCACTAGTTTTATTATCAAAATAATAATTGACAACCCTACCCTAAGTTTGCTTTGATTTTACCAACTCAAACTCGTTTTAGAAGATCAAAACATTATTTTTTATTTAATATGGTTCATCAAATCCGATAAAATAGTTTAAAATACTCACACAATAAAATTTTGAAGTGCAGGTAAAATATCTGAGCGGATTTCAAAGAAAATGGACGCGTTACGTAAGCGGATCCTTATATTTTTCATAAATCGAAATGGAGTTAAATGTGGATATTTCGATGGTAAATTTAATAAATTGTCCTATAATGCAAAAATATTAAGAATATTTTTAATAATATTCATTAAACATCCATTTTAAGGGACCGTATACTGCAATATTTATTGTTTCGTAACTTTTTAAATTATCGTTTAAATAAAATAAAACTATTATTATTCATATAACTTTTATTGTTTGAGTTAAATCAAAGAAAAATCTTTTTAAAAACTATGCTTATTAAAAAATTCTTCGTAGAAATTTTATTAATCAACTTTGTAAAGCTCCAATTACGTAACTTTTCAGATATTTCGGGGGAAAAAAAATATCATTTACACTACATTTCATCATCATCATCATTACATCCCTTCACAAGTCCACTGCTGAACATAGGCCTCCCCCAAGTAATGCCACAAAGCACGGTCCTGAGCCCCCTGCATCCATCGACTTCCTGCATATCTTACCAGGTCGTCACTCCATCTAGTGGGGGGTCGCCCTACACTACGCCTACCGGTACGAGGCTGCCACTCGAGAACCTTTCTTCCCCATCGGTTATCGGTTCTTCGAGCTATATGGCCGGCCCATTGCCACTTCATCTTACTAATACGTTGGGCTATGTCGGTCACTGGTTTTTCTGCTGGTATCCTCATTCCTGAGTCTATCAGGCAGAGAAACTCCGAGCATAGCCCTCTCCATAGCTCGCTGAGCGACCTTGAGCGTCCTCATAGCGCCAGCAGTGAAGGACCACGTCCCAGATCCGTAAGTCATCACTGGCAACACGCACTGGTCGTTTTCAGAGATTGAGGTATACCTGACGAGAAGATATGTCGTAATTTCCCGAACGCTGCCCAGCCGAGTTGAATCCGTCGATTGACCTCTCGGTCGAAGTTGGACTTACCTAGTCGGACTATTTGTCCCAGGTAAACGTACTCGTCACCTTCAGCAATGCTCCCAACAACTACCGACATAGGTGTGACATGGACATTAAACATAATCTTTGTTTTGTCCATGTTCATCTTAAGATCTATCCGTTGGGAGGCACTATTGAGGTCATTGAGCATAGTGCTTAAGTCCTCCAGCGATTCTGCCATAAGGACTATATCGTCGGCAAATCGAAGGTGAGTGATGTACTCGCCATTGATGTTAATACCGTATCCTTTCCAGTCCAGTTGCTTGAAAACGTCTTCCAATGCAGCGGTGAAGAGTTTCGGGGATATAACGTCACCCTGTCTTACACCTCTCTGCAGTTGGATAGGTTTCGAGCTCTGGTTCTGTACTCGGATAGCCATCGTAGCCCTACTGTACAAACACTTCAGCACTTCGATATTCCGACAGTCAACTTTGCAACGCTGAAGGGACTGTAGCACCGCCCAAATTTCGACGGAATCAAAGGCTTTCTCATAGTCCACATACGCCAGGCAAAGTGGCAGATTGTACTCTTCAGTCTTCTGTACAATCTGCCGCAAGGGTATGTATGTGGTTTTATGGTACTGAAGCCTTTTCGGAAACCGGCTTGTTCGGTAGGCTGGAAGTCGTCGAGTCTGCGTGCGAGACGATTCGTAATGACTCTCGAAAACAGCACGTAGACGCGGCTCAGAAGGGAAATCGGTCTGTAGTTCTCCAAGAGAGCGTTGTTGCCTTTCTTAAAGAACAAGACCACCACATTTCTGTTCCACGCCTCGGGAGTAGTGCCACCATGGAGGACGGAATTGAAGAGCTTCTAAAGGACTTCAAGTACCGGTGTTCCACCCGCTTTCAGAAGCTCCGCTGTAATTCCATCCTCGCCTGGGGCCCTGCCGTTTTTAAGGTGCTGGAGAGCCATTCTAATCTCGCTTAGACTGACGTCCGGGATATCATCGGAACAGTGTCGGATAAGACTTGCTTTTGGATCGTTACTCACACTTGCGTGTGGCTCCAACGATGATGTGTACAGCTGCCCATAGAACCTCTCAATCTCACTCAAAATCTCAGGTGTCCCGGAAACGATGCTGCCACACTCAGTCTTCAGCTTTGACAGTTGGCTCTTACTGGCAGACAGATCTCTGGCAAAGACTTTGGAGCCCTGGTTCCGCTCGATCGCTTCTTTAATACGAGCAGTATTAAAGTTGCGTAAGTCTCGCCGCATGCATTTGGAGATCTGTCTGTTCAGTTGCCTGTAAGCTGTCTAATCTGTTGACGATTGCAGCCTCATCTCTCGTCTAACAGCCATGAGATTAAAAGTGTGATCGGAGAGTTTTTGTGTTCTTCTGCGGCAGGTCTTGCAGAACTTAGCTCCGACCGCATGGACAGTTTCCACGAGCTTGTCATTCATATCGTCCACTGCATTGCAATCTTGTAGGCACTGAAAGCGGTTACGTAACTCGAGCTGAAAGTTTTCGGGATTCTGTATTAGAGCACGAGGGGGGACGGAGCATTGACTTCATTAGACGAGACCTCTCCAACTTAACGTTTAGGTTCAGTGTACCTCTAACCATTCGGTGATCGCTGCCAGTTTTCACCCTTGCGATCACTAAGACATCACTGAACAGTTGGCGTCTGGTCGTCATAATGAAGTCAATCTCATTTTGTGTCACTACATTTACATATTTGAAACAAGTTTAATATCAAACTCTATTAACGAAATAAAATAATAAAAAATAAACACTATTAAACTTTTAAAAGCACCTCAGATCATCAAGATTTGTAAGATAAACGTAAAATTTTTAACTAATAACTGTGGGACAGTTACGATAATGGAATAATGTGTTACGAAAAGGAACTGCTTAGGGTGTATGCACATATACCCTATTTTTTCATAAGTACTAAAATAATACCTAATTACCATAATTTAAATATTTTTAGAATATCGTCAATATCTTTTTTTTATGAGAGAAAATTTTATTAACTTTTATTGAATCTATAAAAAAAATTAATTGACTATGTTTGGATCATAAACAAGTTTCCCTTGCTTTATTTAGTACTTAGTGATAAAACATAAAAGGTTTGTATCTATAAAATTTATACTTAACTGTGTAACTGTAACTAACTTACCGCCTTACTGTTTGTAAATTTTATATAGACTACAAATTGTGTCAACCAAATACCTTATTTGCAGTTTTGTTTTTACTTTTATCTTACACTCTCTTTTTCCTGCGGTACAACTTGATAAAATCTCTCAGATAAAATATTTCCATTTCTTCTTTTACTTTAGTATTTAATAAACGCCGCTTAAAAGAAAATTTTATTCCGCTTTTCAAACCTTAATATTTTACCGTAATTTCCATTTTCACCAGTTATTTTCGAAAAATTGCAAATCACTCTTTTTAACAATCTCTTGCCTTTTTGAGTCTTGTTGTCTTTATAAGTCATTTGGAGCGCCTTTTTGATTTTCTTATTTTCTTCCTCTAATTCTTCATTTATGTTTACTTCTTTGTGCAGATTTTGTTTACTTCTTTGAATTTGTTTCTCAAACGTCCTACTAGTAAGTGTAATCTTTCTTGATTTCTTTTCGATTTAGTTAAGGCATTATTTAAAAAACGTATTTTCTTCTTCAAACAATTATTAATTTTAATGTCTCGTGTTTTACTTTCTTGTTTTCTTTCTTCATAAGAAATTTTCTTTTCGTTTTTGCTGTTTTGATTTCTCCAGTATCTTCTTTTTTTCTGTTTTTCTTCTTCTCTGTGCTCATTTATCTTTTTTGACAATTTTTTACTCGTTCTAATCCTTTTTTCTTGTAAACTCCATACTTTTTTGATCTTTTTTCAAATTTTCTCGGAATCGTTTTGCCCGTTCGGACCTTGTGAGAGGTATTCTGTTTTGTAGGTAGGTTTTAAAAAATATTTCTTTTAGATTTAGATTCTGAAAGGTGAAAAAAAAAACATATTTTGTAGCTGTATATATATTCAAAAAAAGACCACGAAGAAAAACAGAAAAATACTGAATAAAAGATTTCCAAGCTAGACATAATATAATTCTGCCCTTATATAATTCTGTTACGTAACAAATTAGTTCCGCTAATACATAACGTTACGTAGTTACGAAAAGTGAGCTTGAAATTGAAATCAATCATTTTTAAATAAAAATTATCAACATTATACTGTTGTGAGAGAAAATTAATGAAAAACCAAAACATAGCAACCACCTTACCTGAGAAAACACGAATTTGTAATGAACAAAATTTTATCACACACAACCACCACAGCGTTTCGTAACGAATTACGTCAAATTGACAGTAAGGCGTTCAAATTTTGTTTGGCATTTACTTTAAAAATGTTATTAGAAGTGCGAAAAATCTAAAATTTAATATATTTTCCCTTTGTAAGTACCTGTTACACGCGTTACGTAAAGGAAATTTCCGCCAAGCTTGTTTTAGACGACAACAATTAAAATGAATTATCTATTTTAGTTCTTTTACAAAACTCTAAATCATGCATTAATTTTGTGCTCTTGAATATAGTTTGCAATATAACTGTCAAATGAACTGTTTTAAAAAAGATTTGTCTAAATCAGATCTTTTTGTTGGCAAGGTATAATAGAGATAGGGTGAACATGTTAAAATTAATGGTTTCGTCCACATAAATGTTTACTTTATAGAAATATTTTGCAGGTTTATTAAGTTTTATTTTAAATATGAAAGTAATCTTTATATGTTACCTATCCATGTTGTTACCAACAAAAGCAAAAAAAAAACTTGATTCCCTTATGAATAAACTATTGAAAAAGTGGGTGGACAGCGCAGTTTTCCTGTGGTAATTTTTTTTTGAAATCCGCTCATCTGCAACCAACATTTGCACAATTCTGACGTTCACAGACGTTTCACAACTATTTGTCAGAACCGAAAGTAAGCACTGGCATGCGACAAAAATCGTACCATAAATAAAATAAAGTCTCTAGTTCGAGAGGAGACGAGCCGTGGTAGCTCAGATGGTTAGCGCTTGCTGAAATTTTCACAGCGTGCGAGCAAACCGGGTTCGATCCCCGCCGGCACCAATGAAATTGTAATTGCAATTTTCAAGTGTTGATTTACCATGTGCTCAGTGGTGAAGGAAAACATTGTGAGGAAACCTGTATGTCTGAGAAATAAGAAAAAAAAATTTAAGACATGCGAAGTTCGCCAACACGCACTGGGGCAGCGTGGTGGAGAATTCCTTTCCTAGGACCCTTTCAGAAATGAGCGGAGGCTTGTGCCCTGGAGTGGGACGTATATAGGCTATAACTTTAACTTTAACTCTAGCTCGAATAGCCTACTAATGAAATTCAAATGATCGGTTTAGGCAAAGTAAGGCTAGATAAGTCAAATTATGGCATTTTATAGTACCACTTAGATATCTTACTTCACAAGCACAAGTGTGTACCTAATCACAATACCTACTAAAGTATTTTGATTAGGTAAGTACACATTTGTGCACCAATAATAATAGTACCTACAAACCAAAAAATTAATAAACAAAACTTTACATCTTCAACCATTTCAGTTGAACCAAGACAGGTATACTGTAATTATATGGTTTCTTGGCTCAAGTCGTTTACTGCCGTATGGTCATTGTTCATATTTAGCCTGCAATAAAGAATAAATTATATTAGATCTTGCATGACAACAAAACGGAATTACGTGTAATAAATTATTTACATACATATTTTAGACATACATTTGAAAAGGTTCATATTATTTATAATATGGTAACCACAAAAAATATCACATCAAATTTCATAAATTCTGGTTATAATTTCATAACTCTATGGACTCAAAAGTGCGCCCGACATACCCATTATCATTTTCAATTATTGGTAAACTTGAATAATTATTTTTGTCGTCAAATTCGCATTCAGGTATTTTTCTTCTCCTTCTAAAATAAAAATAAACTATGTAATAACACGTAGGAATTTAACGGAATAAAAGTAAGTGAACTTTGCATAATACACCAAATTACTTACAGAATTTCATTCATCTTTAGAACATTTTGACGTCGTTGACGTTTATTCTTCTTGAATTTAGGCATTTGCAATAATCAATCCACAAAATTATATTTTCATAATCGTAGCGTCTTTTGTGGTAAAAAAACACGTAAGCGCATCGGTTGGTACCTAGGTACTCAAATAATATTATGTTTGCGGCGAAATACGGAACGTCGACGACGGCGACGAGCGATACAGCCACCTCGTACGAACGCATACAGCGTAATGCCGCTCGCACTCTGCGCACGCCCCTTTATCATAAAATTCACACAATCTTCGGAATTATTTCAATTAAAAAAGAAAAACTTAAAAATTTAAATAAAACGTGGAGAATATAGATTTTTAAAATTATCTATCCATTAGTGTAATCCTCAAATGATTAGAGCGTTGCGTTTAGCAACAGGTGCATGTAATCAAGAATTTTAGTCATTTTTAAAAGTAGATTTTAAATGTATTGCTTATCAAAAAAATAAAATACATTTAAATATAAGCACATAAAAATAAATTAGAACGTGGAATGTGATGATAAGATATCATCATCATCATCATCATTACAGCCCTTCACAAGTCCACTGCTGAACATAGGCCTCCCCCAAGTAATGCCACAAAGCACGGTCCTGAGCCACCTGCATCCACCGACTTCCTGCATGTCTTACCAGGTCGTCACTCCATCTAGTGGGGGGTCGCCCTACTCTACGCCTACCGGTATGAGGCTGCCATTCGATAAGATATCGAACATTAATAATGTACTTTTAGATGTAGTTTATTTTTCATAACTAATAAGATAATAGAGTCTGAAAAACGCACTTTCGCAACATTTTGATCAGGGATACACCTTAAAGTTGTTATCTATTAAACTATAATGCTAAATACTTTTTCTTTTTTATATACTTACCACTAAAAGATGGAATTTCTACTGTACTTTTTATAAGATGGGGTGGCAAAAGAGCACACAGTCCACCTGATGGTATATGGCTGCTGCGGCCCATAGACATCTACATCTATCCTCGATTACGAATGAAAATGCAGATACGTTGTCACCCGTGGGGACTAAGATGGAATGCCTCGTTTCTAGTAAAAAGGGTCTCCGGTTCTCTACACTCACCATACGAAACACAGCAGCATTAAGCTACTATTTTACGCTGGTATTCTGTGAGAGCGCGGTCCTTCCCTGGTCGAACCGACCCATTCATGCTGCAACTATACTACTAATATAAATGCAGCATGGCTCTACCACGTATAAAATTATGTATATGAATGTTTAGATTTAGTTTTTCTTGCCTCAATAATACAGTCACACAATTAATAAAAGGGAAAATGAAGTCATGCAATTCCTGCTTACACTCCGAAATTTATCCTGTAAAACACCGAAAGGCTTGCCACTTTGAGTATTTGATATTAGTAAGATTGGTTCTAACCATATTGGTGTCACCAATAAGCCTCTTAGCACGCCTTTCCGTTGAGTCCAAAGCCACTATGTGGCATCAAGATGAGTAGTAGGGGATGAACCATTAATTTTGAAATTAAAACGACAGTTACTTATAAAGAATAAATAATATCAAATATACGTCAGGTCATAAGTTCTGTCAAAAACTTTTTATAAAATTAATGATACACTTTTTGATAATTATATAGAAATTATATATGAAATGAAAGGTAATTTAATTTAAAATACAATTTTATTTTCATTATTCAAAATGCCCTCCCTTATTTTGAATACATGCCCTTAATCGACGCGGCCAATTATCAATTGCAGCACGCACCGCACTCATATCTATTTCTGCCGCTGCTTTATCCAAAGATGCTCGGAGAGATTCCAAATTCTGATGACGTTTAGCGTACACTTTCTCCTCCAAATGTCGCCATATCTTATAATCCAGTGGGCTTAAATCTGAACTAGAAGAGGGCCTGTCTTCATGTCCGATAAATTCAATTCCATGGGCGGTAAACCAGTTTTGCGTGCTTCGTGCCATATGAGCTAGTGCAGAGTCCTATTGGAATATCCAATGTCTGTTTTTAAACATTGTTTGAGAAAGAGGTTCTATGTATGTTTGTTAGGACAGTATTTTGGTATACCTAGGCACTGGTTTTTACACCTTTTTCACAGAAAAACACCTCAATTAAGCCTCAATATGAGACTCCAAGCCAAACCATGAGTGACGAAGGATAATGTGCTCGTTGTATCCTCGGAATACGTGTGCTGGCTTCTTCACTGCTATGGGCATACACCTTATCATTTTGTTTATTATAACTTTCTTTGATGTTAGAAACTTTATCATCCGAATACAAAATTTCGCGTTATTTTTTTCCCGCGTACCACCGTAACAAAGCGCGGGATCTGTCCAGCCCAATTTTTTCAATCGCACGTTCAAAAAATGTCCGGTTTTCTTTCGATAAACTCGTAGTCCTAGGTCTTAATTGATCATTCTTTTGACCATGGTTCTGCTTAGGTCCATCTGGAGAGCTGAGATTTTTTGTTTACGAACAGGATTTCGTTAGATTCGCGCCTTCACTGCTTTGATGATTGCGGGTGTCATAACTGTACGATGTCAGCCGGTACTCTTCTGATCTTCGACTTCAATCTTCAGTGAATCGTTTGACCGTACGGTAAACAAATCGTAGGGCTATTTTCAATTTTTATAGAATATTGAAAATCTCTTTTGGCGCGTAACCACAGCAGTGCAACGCGATAACCGCTACTCTATCTTCTTCCTTCGAACACTCCAAGCAAGCGCCAACGTAAAATTGGTGAAGTTCATTTAGCCAGTATTCAAAAATTTTAAATAATAAGGTATTGACAGAACTTATGACCCGACTAAGTATATATATATAAAGTGAAATAAGTCCTTAATGTCAAGGAAGCCCTGTGACATTAAAGGCTGAAGTTCATTGCTAACCATTATCGTCTCATTACCTTTTATACATGTATGTATTTAAATATTACTTCATTTGTTCGAATGATGTTTTCTGTTCTCTTGCCCTACTTTTTCCTTCTGACTTTCGTTACACCTAGATCGATATCATAACTAGTTTTTGACATAATTTAAAGTTTATACGCATATATGCATACATACGCAAAAAATTAGTGTTCGAATGAAACGACCTTGAAACTTTGAGATATATGTCAAAATTTGGATTTTGCAGACAGACTCATGGAACTATATACTAGGAAGTTGATATTAAAAAATATAACTGTATAAAAACATATCGAGTTCCCACTAACTTCCTATAAAGAGTCAGGCATTTTGTTCTACCTATCCCTAATACCTTAATATCCTATTAAGCTTTTATAATAGTTTTATTCATCCAATAAAAGGTTTATGAGGGACAATATCACACACAAGTACACACTCACACAGACACACACGCACGAAAACACATAGCATACGCTTTTTTCACGAAATTAGAAACAAAAAACTTCATATTTACAAAAAATACTTTAAAATGAAATAAAATTTAAATAAAACTAGTTTTTATGGATTTCATCGCGTATACTTTTTTATACTTCTGACGTTTCGAGCAGTTTACAGCACCCATGATCAAGGACGGACTGAGGTTTTCGACGTCCTGATATCATAGTTAACCACAGCTACCCATTAAAATTATAAATTTTTGTTCCGATCTACACAGAATGAACTTCTAGTATCTTGAATTCTTGCAGTTATACTCTTGGGTTGGCATTCAAATTTTATTAATTGTATCCCAA